ATGTGGAACTAAATGGGGCACTGGCAGTTGGGTGGAGAGTGGTGAGAGGAGACAATATGCTCAATGTATTTTTCACGCAACATATCAGCTTGGGCTACTAATTGCTAGGTCAGTATATTCAATAAAAACATTTTATGCTTTAAAAATACCACCAAAAATGCTGTGAGATTTAAAATTCAATATAAGTGGACCCTAATGATGGAAAAGGAAGATTTGTTCTATTATGATTCAAACAGAAACAAAGGGCTTGAATTTTCTCAATAATGTGCTGTGTTTGAAATTGTTATTGACTTTGTATCTGTTATTTCAAGGTACCCTCCAAAATGTACATCATGACAGGTAACCTGCATTTGATATTGAAATGAGATAGTCACTCGTAGTTTCCACACAGGATTTTCAAATAGTCCATTCTGTAGCATTAATTTGATTTCATAACTTGTATACATACTTCATTGGTATCCTCAAAGGGACATACATGCACACACACACATACATATTTTTGAGCAAGTAAGATTTATTTTTCATATTTATACAGCCACTGAGAGAAAAATACATATTTACCAAAATCTTTTATGAGAAAAATAATGACAAAAGTACTCACCATCAATATCAGCACATCTTAATTCATTATAGACATCATGCTTGTTTAGATTCATTCCCAACTTAGCTAAAGTGCACATCATTCCATGTAAATCAATACAGCTTGTTTTATCCTTGTTGAAGAAGTTGTAGGCATGTTGGAAGGCTAGGGAAGTGGAATTCAGGACAGTTATTCAAGAAGAAACATATATGCTAATGAGACTAGGACAGACAATACAGTTGATTGGAGATCGTGTTCTCAAAAAGTGTTGAGAGACTTAATAGATATTTCTTATAAAGAACAGTGTCTTTCCACGGAATTTGAACTGGAATAAATTAATTGGTGGAAAACCAAATGTGGTAGGTGAGGTGGTCTTCCAAAGATGTCTATGTCCTAACCCCTAAACGTTGTGAACATGTTACCGTACACGGCAAAAGGGACTTTGCAGATATAATTAGGATACATTATCCTGAGCCCTATCTAATTACATGATCCCTTACATAGATAGAAGCAAGAGATATGTGGCAGAAGAAGTCAGAGAGACTCAGAGCATGAGAAAGACCGGACCCGTCATTGCTGGTTTGAAGATGTAGGGGCAACATGATGTGGAATGCAAGTAGCTGTAAGGGCCTATAAGAGAGGCTCCTGGCTGATAAACAGCAAGGAAACTGAGACCTCAGCCCTATAACCATCAGGAACTGAATTCCACCAAAAATCTGAATGAAATTGGAAGCAAACTGCCCTCCAGAGCTCCCAAATAAGATTCCAGGCTGGCCAACACCTTAATTTCAGCTCTGTAACACCCAGAGAAGAGAAACCAGCTGGGCCCACCTGGACTTCTGACCTACAGAACTGTGAGATAATAAATTTGTGTTGTTTTAAGCTGCTAAGTTTGTGACCTCATTTCCCCCTCCAGCTACTACTACCTCTGCCATTTGTCTCTTCTTTGTATTAAAAATTCAATCACTTATTTCAATCAGTATGGACTTGTGGATTTTTATTTTATACTTTGGTTTATAGTCCAATTCTGTATTATTTATTTTTGTTGCTCAAATTGTTTAAAAAATCGGTGGAAGGCAGAGTAGGTAGAGATGCTGATCAGGAAGTAGATTTGGAGGTGGGAGTCTGTGGAAATTCTATCCTGATTGCTTCAGTTTTCTTCAGGGAAGTAGGAAGCAAAGATACCAATTGAAAGTGACAATGGAAGATGCCGGGGATTTTGAAGTGTTCAATAAATATTTGTAGAATGAATAAATTAAGCTTTCATAGGAAAGTTGACGATTAAGCACTGTAAAGAACACATTTGCCAGTTTCTGTATTTGATGCTTTGATATCTGGGGCCTTGCTGGCCCTGGAGGGACTGCCCTGCAGGGCTAGTCAATTCTTAGAGACAGTAAAAACTACCAGTTAGTGAGTCTTCCTTTCATATGCGAACCAACTAATCCAGAGCCCATCCCCT